TCCCCGTATCAATACGGGCGAATCCGGATACGAGAGGATAGCAAGTCCGTCGACTTGCGGGTCGCGTTCGGTGCATCCCGATCGCCGAAATCGCGTCCATTTCCCGCCATTGTCGGACACGTTTTCCAAAGGGCCGCCAGCGTCCGCGCCATTGTAGTCTTGACGACAATGGACTGATGAGCCGGTATTGTCGAACTCGTCGAATTCTGTTTGCACCAGATACGAAGGGGCGACGCGGCGAGGAGAGAGAAAGCAGGGGGCGGCAGAGAGAGAGATATATATCTCATAGTTCGCGAGACGACGCGTCTATCCAAAAATCGAGAATCAGTCTGCTTTTTCTGTTTTTGGACGACGGGCCGGCTCGAGTAGTCTCGTGCTCGTTGGGCAAACAAACGCGCCTCGTCGCGCCAGACATTCGCAGCATCCGGATCCGTAATCCCGGGGGATTAACTCGAGACCGGAGCGAACGAGTATTTTCTTGACGGGACGAGAGTTGAGATTCTGTTGGCTCGCGCGGCTCCGAATATCGCGAACGACGGACGCGGGAGCGTACGAGGCGTCGCGTCCTTTGCAATTTTCTTCGAGAAGAGCGCGAAGCGAACCGAGAGAGAGAGAGAGAGAACCAGAGCCAGGGAGAGACGCGGAGAGACAGGGAGAGACAGGAGGAGAGAGGAGGAAGGGGGATCTCTGCCAATAAGGCGGAGAGAGAGAAAGCAATTATACCGGCGCGCAATGACTTTTACTAGGAGACGCGCGAACCATTGTAGCGGCTCGTGACAACATCTGGAGAAAAACAAGAACTCGTAATTACGTGCTGCAACTGTCTGCTCCTCCCGAGGAGTATTGTATTGTAGAAGCCCGGGACGGGCCATTTCAAGTCGCGTCAAAGTAGAAATTGCGCGCGTCGCCCGCGACTGTCCGCTCTACCGTCGAAAAATTATTTAACTTGCGGCGCGGAGATGTTTTACGCTGTCGCAAAAGTTGGAGCGGGCGCGCGAATTAGCAAGTCGATCCCGAACTTGGTTGAAAAACGTCCGCGATACTCTCCGAGCGCCGCGTCATCGCGCGCACGTACGTTCGGAATTCATTCGGCGGAGCGTCTTATTTCTCCTCCGAGACGGATCGAAGGGTCGACGCGGGCCGCAACGCTCCTACCCGCGGATGAATTTTACATATTCCGGATTTTCCGCGCGATTACCTCACGCGGGCGACGTAGAATTCCTTCTTTCCACGCGTAATTACCCGCGCCGTTGCCTGGCGCGACGCCACGTTAACGCGCGGCTCGTGATTTTACAACGGAGAAATAAACAAAGCCGCATATGCAAGAAGCGCTAATTTATCATGTCGCGCAGCCGCCTCCGAAGACAGGAGTTATATAAAATCAAAGGGTTAAAAAAAACAAATTATGAAATCTAACATTAGTGCGCGACAATGTCGCTTGCACAATACCAGCTTGCATCTATGCTACACGCGTGAACATCCTTCAGATAAAATATTCAACTATAAATTTAAAAACTATGTTGGTCGTTGAGATAAAAACGAAAAATATGGGCAATGTGAGCCGTCACCAGATCGAAGGTGATAAATTATATACAGAAGTTTTGGCATAAAAATATATTGAAAAATAGATAACATTGTGGTAAGATTGAACGTTTCGGTCTACGAATGTGACCCTCTTCAGGAATACAGTGTAGAGTAAAAATAATTAGTCTAAATAAATGCCAATAAAAAAGGGTTCAGAGTCTGAACAAGGTTGTAGTGTCCAATAAAATAATTTTGATTATCAATGTATACGTACGTTTCGGTCCTTATTGGACCATCCTCAGTGTTAAGAGATAAATTCGATTTAGAACATGGATGGATTCGCAAGTTAAATATCTACAGAGAATTACGCAGTCATTAGTGTAAAAATAAAAGGACAAAAAATTATAATCAGTTATGAGGCGGTAATATATAAAACACGGCGCAAGTGAGTATAATATGTTGATTAGAAAGAAGGAGTTGGAACCGTGTTGTACTGTGTGAATGGCGTTACAGTAATGCGGGATAAAGAACAACTGCGCGAACCTAGTCTAAACTTGTTATAAAGATGAGATGAGTTATAAAGGGGGGTCGTTATAGTGGAATTTATATATAAAAGTATTAAATGGCCACTTATAATCCGTCTAGATCTGAATGGTGTACAGGTTGGCTTGTCCGTTATATGGTTACATCGCGCATAAAATATTCAATTTGATAACATGAAGAGTCAAAGCTCTTTTCATCATTTGTCGGATGAAGATGCAAAGGATGATATTCGTGGTCCTGTTTTTCTCGTCAAACCGCGCGACTAAAACTTAGGCCCGGTCTACAATGAATCGTTAGTCGTTAGTAGTCAGAATTATATGACGGACCTTTTTCTTCCACCTAGAAAACAAAAGGAGCAACGTATAGTTCCGACTTCTGATTAACGAATAACAACTCATTGTAGACCGGGCCTTATGGTTACATTTATCCGCTACGAGATCGTTCCGTAATCTGGCCTTTCGCTAGCAACCTGCAATTGATTAACCTGAATGTTAAGATACACAGTTGCAAGTCCCATAACGACTGAGAAACATTATAACGAGCAGAACTGCGAAGAGGACGTTGCGGATATGAGCGTACGAACATAGAAAATTGCAATCGCTGGGTCATAATGGAGTTGTCCCGGGCTTTGATCAAACGATTGCGTCAGTTGTCTCGTCAAGAGCAAACCGCCATGGGTCTAGGAACGGTTAATGGGAGCCGTACAAAGGTTTGCCCGAAAACCGCAACATGTGGGTGGACTCGAACGTGTACGGGGAAGGGGGGGGGGGAGATTTTTCCAAATACGTTTTGATTTTTTCAAATACGTTTCGATACGTTTTTCCGCCAACAATGAGCGAACGGATGTAATTTCACGGGATGCCTTCGCAGATATGCGTGAAAAATGTGCAATGTACAATTGATTACATCGCGGGGAAAACGAATGACGTTGAAATGATGATAATTCACGCCGCAACATCTTCATAATCGATAGCTTTCGGCATAAGCGCGGTGACAACCATTGTTTACGGATTTTACCGTGATCGTTAAATATTCATTATTTTTAATGAGTTTTTTTTAACAGCCATCAATTTTATCACGCGCCATATTTTGCGTTACATCTCAACGTGTTTTCAATATTACCTCAGTTGACCTCGCGTGAAACGGCCAGAATTTGCATATTGCTTTTAATTATAATTAGGAGTTAATTAACGCCTCGTTTTACACGAACCGTAGCGATTCGTTTTCATGATTTTCGCATACGAGAAGAAATATCCAGCAACAACACGAGAGCCGATGAAGATAACGCGTTTCACTACTAGCGATAGAAATCATGCACGGCTGAGCAGAGATGTACTTTTACTACTTACGCGTAACGGCACTCGTAAAAGTTCTCCACTCCATGTGTCGTAAAGGGAGTATTTTTTTCCAATGTTTTGAACATCATGTAATAAACTCAGTATTATCATTAATGTATGTATAATCAATTATAAGTATATTTAATTCTCATTGAAGATTGATTTTATCAGTAATTATTCATCATCACTCCCTCTTGTTCTCTCTCTCTCTCTCTCTCCCCCCCTCCTTCGTTTTTCTGTCGTAGTACACGGAGAAAAAGGTTCCTTTGGATCTAGTATTCTTATTCATTTGATTGAAATTTGTTTCATTGAAACAACATATGCTTGCACGAGACATTATTTGTTTGAATAAAAATTTTGTCGATTCATTAAAATAATCTCTATTTAAGATATTATTATTTGAAGTAATATATTTCAATTAAATAACTATATTATTTGGCCAGGCGCGTATAAAGTTTGGTGCTGCCACTAGATGGCCGCCGAACTCGTAAAATGAGACACCCTGTATATTGTTTCTCAAATTCAAACAAATGATTTGCTTGGACCATTCCAGATATCAAATTTGTTTGGATACAACACAATTTATTAAATCCAAAGAAATAATTTTTTCTGTGTATAATCGAAATAAAAATTTCCTCTTTGCAAGTGTGAAGTCGATAATCAGGCAAATGAACAATCGGTGTCGCTATAAAACTAACTTGACACTTAAATGCGTATCCGTCGACGATAAGTAAGAAAAAAGGAAGGAAAAGTATATGATTAGAAATGCGAATATCATGAATTTAGGCAGGCGGGCGCGGAAAGCAAATCGCGAGGGTAACGCGAAAGAAGATCGAAATGCTTTATAACGTCGTAAACAAAGCCTCCTTCCCGATTTCACGATTCTCCCAGGGCGCGTCAGACGAGCTTTTTACACTCCCACGGCGTCGTAAATCTTCGCTCTCGCATTAACGGCAACGTGAAAGCACTGAGAAGAGCTCTCGCACGAGCGGACGCGGATAGCTCGTATTCGCCCCGGACGTTTCCGCTGTTTATATCGTCTTACGCTTTTCCCTCATATCTGATAATTTTATACAATAATCCCTTTGCCCCCGACACCTGCAGCCCGCCCGCAGCCTGCAGCTGCGCTGTTCCTCTCAACTTTTTACCGCGACATATTTAACACGCGATATTATATTAAAATAACATGCGAATGAAATAAAATAGCACGGGATAAACACGAATAGAATTAAAAACTTTGCGATGGTAAATGGCATTTCGTTATCATTACCAATGGTAAATGGTTTTTCGTAATTTTGCGACGTAAATTCGATAAACGAGTTTTCCTAGCAGATTCAACACGTTATTTCACTCATTATTAGATCTGTATTTCAATATATCGTGTCGCAATTATTTCGATTGACCCTAAACTTTTACGCTGTAATTGGATGAAATCGAGTGTCATTCTCCTAAAATTCACGTCGTACCGCGGGCGCTTTCACCACGATGATCGTCAAACGAAACGCTTTTTTACCGGCTAATCCAATTTTAGTGTTACCACGTGCACGCAAGCGGTCCACGTGTCCGCGTGAATATTTCAACGATTAATTAACTTACCTTCAGGGGTGGCCTCGTCGGATCTTTCCGCAGCTCCGCGAAACGTGCCTCGAAACTGTCGTCCCAGTATTCCCGACTCCGCATCCATGAGGGCTGCGAGAGAAAGTACACAACCGTTAGAAATTTCGTGGCTCAACCCGTATATTGCTTCGCGGCTAATAAAACGAAAACGCCGCAAAGACGTAAATTTTGTGGACGCTCGTGCGCTCGCCGGCGCGCACAGTATCGCGGAATGAGGCAATAACGTACGTATAATATACGTACGTTGTTACACTCGTTCGGTGAAGTCAAAAGAGAGTTGATGGATGTTGGTAATTTCGCGAGGGAAGATTCATCGATCTCGCTCGCTTTTAATTTAATTGTGTTTCACGCTTATTGCTCAAATGTGTGCTACAAAATTGCCGCGTATATCTTTCGCGAAACCTAATGAACCTGATAATTTTGCGATCATACAATTTTACGTTCCCTCAGAGTTTAATCTGCTTTTCACGAGGGGTGAACCGCTTACCAAAATCACCCACACACTGATAAGAAAAATATCTTCATCCGAAAAGATATTACTTTACTCAAGAAAATTATTCATTAGGTGGCTCCTAATAGCTTATTAACTTAAATTTACAAAATAATCAACTGTATATCTTTTTATTTTATTTTCTTAAACACGTGCCAGTTAAGGTCGACTAAACTTATTCATTATTGCTTTATCTTATTTTATCTTTACAATGCCCTAGCAAGACCCAATGCCCAAAAGATGCCTAGTAATAGGCTTGTTTTCGATCGCTGCACTGGTGAACTAGTGCAGTAAGCTAGAGTGAGAAAAAATAGACTTGTCTTACTATAATTTATTGCGCTAGTTCACCAGTGTAGCAACATAAAACAAGACTATAGACTGCGAATCTGTACACCACAATGCTCTCAGCGGTTTGCCCCTCGGTTTTTTATATTCGCCATTTTGCAGGTTTTGCATAGACGGTAACTTTATTAATTCATACCTCGCATAACAACGCGATAACAAGGCTCTTGTCGAATTACATAACGATTAAGCGTATTTAGATCTATTCGTTTTCTTTTCGCGAGCTCGCGTGCATCGCTCGCTCTTTTTTATTGCCTCGTGTTAATAACAGCTTTATCACGGTAACAGTTTTGACGCGATACCTTGTCGATAAGGTAAACGCACGTAGCGAAATCACGATGACGTTGACTTCTCACGAAGGCTCCGCTTTCCATTGAGATTCCCTCGCGCTGATCTTACGACAAGCGTGGCTTTAGATAGCAAATCTCTACGACTTTGTTTAATATGTGAAAAAGAAGGTGCGCCAGAATCTTCAACGTGTTTGCGAGCACAAATATGAAGGGATAAAATGAGGAAACGTTACAAGATTTTTACAAATTAACTATTGAAGATGAAATTGAAGATAAATGGTATTTAACAAGCACAAACCCCTCCACATTTAATCGTATCTCGATTTTACGCAATTTCTGGCTTTCGTGCTTAAACGCTCATTCTGATCCAGATCTCTTTCGCAAAGTCGTATCTTGATTTTACGCAATTTCTGGGCTCCGTGCTTAAACGCTCATTCTGATCCATATCTTTCGCAAGGTCGTGTCTTAATTTTACGCAATTTCTGGGTTTCGTGCTTAAAGGCTCATTCTGTTCCTGATCTCTTTCGCAAGATGGTATCTCGATTTTACGCAATTTCCGGGCTTCGTGCTTAAACGCTCTTTCTGGAACCAAAAATTTCGAAGCACGCAAACCAGAAGTTGCGTAAAATCGAGATACCCGGCGAAAGAGATCAGTCGATATCCTACGTGACATCTTACGGACCTCGGATATATTTAGCGTTGAAAAGTATCATGGGCGATAAATGAAAGTCACTCGGCGAAAGCTTGACTTATCGAGCGGAATTTGCACGGGCCGGATCCGACGGTTTCCGGAACACCCTGTAGAAACGGCAATAATATCGCCTGAATACCGTCTACGGCGCGAATGGGCTCGAGGATGGGAAGTAATGAAGTAGAGCGAAATTGGAATTCGCGAGGAATCTGATCCGGCCGGTTCTAAACATCGATTACGCAGGTCCGAACGCGCCGTGCTGCGCGTGTATCGGCATTGATACCACAAAATTCGAAGACTTCCAGTTTCGGCGCGCCTCGCAACCGCGGAAAATCCCGAGCGGTCGTGGCGCGGCCGAGAGGGATATAATATAATATCAATCGGGTCGTTGAATTTCGACGGTGCTACCTACTTCGTGCCTGCCAATCAAGATAACGTTTTAAACGGCCGGAAACGCGCTATTGCTGAAGTGACCGCAGACGCTCGAGTGAGCGCAATCGCGGTGGAATCGGGGGTCCTACGCTGATAATTAATCACCCGTGCATCTCTCTCGATAGGGCGACTGCGATACGTGAAACACGAGACTCATAAATTGATGTTGTTGCGAACTGAATATCGCAAATTACGCTAAGCGATGAAATTAAGGTAATCGACGTGCCCCAGGCACGGAGATCTCAATGCGGATTATCCAATCTGCATTGTAAAATAATGCGTTAATGTCATGAAATATGTATTTTTTGCAAGGCAGGAAAGATAAGGCGAGAGGGAGAATTTTTCTCGAAAAAAAAAATTGCGGAAATATTTATTATTAGATTAGTATCGATTCTTGGCGATTAGAATGCCGATTATTAAATGTTAAGCTTTAAAACTTTAAAGGACAAATGTGGAAAGAAACGGTATATGAATTCACATTTAAAAAAGTAAAAATTACAAGTTGGGCTACTTGCCTTGTGACCCACATTTTCTTATGCGTGGTTTAGTTTTATTTAGGGGGTCTTTATACTTTAAGTTTATTATTCATTAAACTGTAAACGGCCGAAATATTAAATTTTAGTCACGTTTTCTTTTACCATCTGAACGAAAAGAACTGCCTGCAAAATTCTTTGGGAAACTCATCTGTAGAACCTTGAGTCTTCATGATTTTATAAGAAGTTATTTGAAATACGGTGTGAGCGGGGGAAGTTTGCTACAAAAATCAAAATTATTACGAAGTACTGATGCAATTGTGCACATTAATTCGATGGGAGATCGACGTAAAAATTTTCTATTTGATTTTCGCCTCGCCATTCGGAAAAAATAATCCCTCGGTAAAGAGTAACGTGGCAATGACACAATTATTGCACATTAAAACAAACCAAGGGCGGCCGACCGAGGGTCCCATTTTAATTTCTATCAACAGCAAGCCGAGCGAATTAATCACCATAAATCCGGGATCGACGGCGGAGATAAAGCCGAGTCAAAATTAAATCCCAAGTGAAGAGCTCGTCCATCGAGCCCAACGGACTCACCATCGAGATATATCCCCCGGAAAGGTCTTCTTCCACGAGGCTCTCCGATTATCCGGCGATCGGTCGAGCTTTCTTGTAACGGAGCTTATCCCGTCGACGTTAATTAAACATCGAAAAGCTTCGCTCCCTAATCCATCGACCGAGGTAGCTTCTTTCACTCGGGATTATTTAGCCGGGAAAGAGAAGATATTTTCGGATCTTCTGAACTCGCTCTCCCTTCGTCCGCTTCTTCCCGCGTCGTATCGAATCGAGCGCTTTCCTTTGATCAGTGATTATAAATTTGTCAACTTTTATGACGATTTAGGTTTTTACGTGAAAAATTTAATTCGCAATTAAATGACGTTTCTTTTCACGTAAATCTATCTATCACAAATTATTACGTTGCTTTTATATCCGTGTAGAAACTTTCGAAAGTGTAAGTGAAAAATTTACGAGACGAGCGATGTCTCGCGAACGTTTTAAGTTCGAACATTTCGTTTCCATTAATATTTGATAATTCGGCCAGAGTTGGCGTGGATTGATTAGAATCGCCATTTTAAGATCAATTTTAATCTCAAGCGCCAATTTTAACGGACCTACAACGACGCCGGTCGATCGTGGAAGATGTTCTTTTGCTCCAATTGCACTAACTATCCCGTCCGTCCGGCTCCCTTCCGGTACACAGGAGCGAATGAAGATGAAGCGTTTTACGGGGTATCCCGGAAGGAGAGGATATTTCCTCGGAGGATAGCGATCTTAGGAAGATGCCGGGGGATGAGAACGAACGGACGGGTCTTAAAGGGATATCGAAGTAACGCTATCTTATCGACACAAGTCCCGCAGGAGACTCCCGGGCAACTGCGTACGGTTTTACAAGAACCACTTTAACCATTTTACCGGAAGCTCGTTATTCGCCTGGAAGGTCGATTGGTACTTTCTTCTTCCACGCGATTCATTTGAATCCCGACAACAGCGTTTCTCCAACTCTCCGACGAGCAATATCGAGCCCGGATAGTACGTCAGAATTAGCTTCCTGATATTCGCGAGTCATCCCTCCAATTTCTCAAGCGCAAAGTTACTCTCGATCTCTCATTTAATGCTACGAAGTCATCCCGATCAGAAATTTTGATGCCCGCTTCTCGGCTCATAATTCTTTTACAAGTATTTCGGTTCTCTGCAATGCACTTTTCTTCGAGTTGTGTTATGTGCATTTATCTTTTTACTTCAGTCACGATTCTATTACACTTGAATGTATCATAAAATAGGATCGATATAGCGTCAGTCATATTTGTTAGAGAAAGAAATATTTGAATCTTAAATGGAAAATTCTAAAATCTAGAATAAAATGACAGTATGTATGAATATCGCGGTGCCAACTTTGTGCGTTGTAAGATGGAGGGAAAATTTATTCTAAACTTACATTTATATAAGTTACTCTTGTCTCAATATAGTGAGTCAATCTTTTTTAATTCGACGGAGGAAAATGAGAATTATTGACTTTATCTTGGTATTGTCTTACTTTTATACTAAACGAGATTGTGAGAAATATAAATGCGTCAGGAATATTTTTTGTCTCGGTAACAGAAACCCTTTCTGAGGGTGTGAGTTGTACAATTAATGTAAACGTAACAATTTTCTTTTACATAATAATATCGATCTCAAGTGAAATCACAAAAAACGTTAACAATTGCCAACTTTAATAATAAATATTTAAACGGTCAATGTATTCTACCAGCAAAAGTGGGTTGTACAAATATAAAATTAACAATTTT